CAGAGTTACCAACATTTCAGAGTTACGAAAAGCCTCCATTCCCAAGGTGTTCATAACTCTGAGGTTCTATTGTACTTACTCCGAGGGGCTCAATCTTGCCAGGTCAGAACTAGAACTAGAAGAAATATTTTAGCATGTGATAAATATCAGCTTTCAAAAGTGCTCATAACTTGAAATACTGGTCTATTTAGATGGTCAAATGCCCAAATTCTTGAAAATCTAAGCCTCTGTGTCCAAATTTTTCCATGTATAAAATGAGAATAATAATATTTATCTCATAGGAATTAACTAATGTTTGGAAATACACACTGTTTACTTTTGTCCTGAAGAATCAAAGATCATTTTTACCGACTGTATATAGGAGTCACTCTCCCATCCCTGAAATGCAGCCTTCTCTTGCAGTAGAATAGAACCACCAGCAAAATTGAATACCTGTTGAATCACTCAGATGACTTCTTACAGTAGCTTGGATTTTCTTTGGGACTCTGGGAGGGGAATAGGGATTTGTGCTTGCAGATTCCTTTCCAGTTTTAGGGCTGTGATTTGTGAAATCTGACTAAATCCCGCTCCCCTTTGAAATCAGTGACAAAATTCACATTAACATCAAGGAGAATAGGAGCAGATCCAAACTTATGGTTTGTATTATAGCAGTGCCTAGAAACTAGGGATGTAAATACTGTTTAAAAAGTTAACCGTTTAAATGATTCAAAAATATTTCATTTAAACAGTTAACCGATTAAGCGGCTGGGGCCACTCCGGACGGGGCTGGCACAGCTGGGGCTGGGGCTGGGGCTGCTCCCGCTGGGGTCGGCATGGCTGGGGCCTCTCCAGCTGGGTGGCACTGTTCTGGCCGGGTGGCGTGGTGGGCCTGCTATGGCCGGGCAGTGCGGCTGGGGTCAGCTGGCCTGCTGGCTGGTGCGAAACCACTGGGGCCAGCTGGTCGGCCCAGGGGTTAACGTTTAAGGTGGGTAAACCAGTAAGACTAATGCTTACCGGTTAACTGGTTAACATTTTACTTCCATACTAGAAACTCCAATCAAGGACGGGTCCTGTTGTGGTAAGCACTGTATGCCCACATAGTCAGACGGACCCATCCGTATGTAAGTAGAGGCACAGTGAGGTAAAGTGGCTTGCCCAAAGTCAGACGGTAGATTGGTGGCAAAGCTGGTAATAGAGGCCAGGAGAAGAGATCCTTACCCCTGCTCCAGGCTCTTTAACTGGGTAAAAAGGCTGGAGCAGCATATAGGCACCCTAAAAGCCTTAGTTCCAGCGGTGAGAGGATTGCCCTAGTGCAGTTACTGAAGCAGACTGCTTGCTGTAAGGCTGCTTTCTGAAGAGGATCCCTTTACAAGGTCTGGTGTAGGGAGTTGGCAGAGGATGGGAGGGGCATGTTGGGACTGGGGCCTCAGCATTGTGTAAATTTCAGGCAGCACTGCAGCCCTGAGACTTAGACTTTTATTATGTACCATAAGGTAGATTTGTACTATGTACTTAAGTGGCATGCCTTTAGGTAATTTCCTGCGTCCATGAATGTACTGATAATTTCAGTATGATTATGAAGATAATTTTGATCACATTCGTGCTCTCACATTCTAGTCTGTATTTAGCTGTAATGGATAGCATGCTGCAGCTGTCTTATGCAGTCTTTCTTGAGCATACCCTTGTAAATGAAGTGGCTTTTTCATTGCCTTTTGCTTTGTTGTTGAGGAAACTGCTGTTGTATAATAAAATTTAATTAAGTTTTCTCTCTACCTTCTCTGTGTTAAAAGTCGTGCAAATGTAATTTTGTTGATGTTGATAACTTTTCTTCTTATTTAGGTAAAGTGTGCTGTGATTGCAGCTTAGTATAATAAACATGATTGTTTTGCAGTGACCTCATCCTCCCCCTGCTCCTTTGTTTGTTGTATCTACCTGCAGTCCCTCATCATGTGCTAACATTGTTAATTTTGGGGCACACTGACTTCCTTAAAAAATTATGTGTGTGTGCAGCACTTACCTCAACAGGGCCTTGATCATTTATTGAGGTTTTTAGGTGCTACCCCAATATAAATAATAAAAATAATGTATTAATGGTTTTAACTTGCCTCCTCAAGATACCTTTACATTAAAAATGTTTTTGCCTGTATTGATTTAATAGGTGTTAATCTTTTGCAAAAAGTGAATTGAAAACACTGAAAATAAGCATACAGTAGAATGTTGCTAATCTGCCCATTTCATGGCCAAAAATGCAATCTCAGCTGAAATGATGACTCATATCAATAAGAATCCATAACTTTTACAAAAAATGCTACAGTATGCTTATGTGTCAATTAAGTTCTAGTCCTACAAGGTCCTGAGTGCCCTCAACTTCCACTGATGTCTCTGTCTTTATACTTCTCTGTGACAGTACCTGGTGCACTGTTGGAGCTAAATAAATACAAAGGGCCTTCATTATACCATTGAGATCAGTGGAATTACACTGGCATAAAATTGGTGTAACAGTGTGGAGAATTTGCATTAACATGTTATGAAGTATTATCAATCACTAAAATTAAACCACAAATAAATGGGAAAATACATTTTCTGATCCATATATTTTTTTCTTTGTTTTCTTATTATGGCCTGATTCTGCAAAATGTTGAACTCCCTTAACTCTCCTTGATTGTAGTGGAAATCGAAATAGCCAGTATCTCATAGGAGGCACACAGCACTTTCCCTTACTCACTAATTCACAAAAACATAGTAATTTGCAATGGGTCTCCCATTCGTTAATTCAAATTAATGAGGTTCTGTTGCATCTGAATTACGTTCAATTACTCTCACTGATGACACTGGCATTATTAAGGCAAACATGGCTCAGCACTATTCTAGTTATTCCCCTCTTGAATGTTTGAAAGGGTCATATTCTGCTGTTATTTCACACACAGAACCCCCCATTGACAGCAGCTGGAGTCTTGCTAAATAATGAGGGCAGAACATAAAGCTTCATTCTGTTGGATACCCAGACGATGAAGGGCACACAAATTGCCGCATTGGCCTGCACTGTAGTTCTGGGCCCTCCACGGATAGCGGGGGAAATGCCTGTAAAGTACTAGCCACCCTGGAGTTTTGGTAGAGCATAACTGTTGAGGGTTGTGCCAACTCTGTTAAATCCATTTAAGCTTTCTGTAAATCTGATAAATAAGTGACTGTTTTCATGAGGGAGCCTTGTGACTGGTCAGAGCATGTTGTCATGTCACTGCAGTCTTATAAATAATGAGAACAGTGACTCACAATTAAGCTTTTTGTTCATATTGTGCTTGGAGCCCCTAACTATCTTTGGTTCACAAGGTGGCATAGTTATAATTTTAATGAATTTAGTTCTTGTTATAAAAGGGGCTCTTCTTCTTTTATAAGAACTACACTGGCATGTGGATACAAAGTCCAGGAAGTAATCTTGCAAATATTTTGTTGATTTCTTTAAGGCAATGCAGGGGCAGCATCAGCACTATTTTGGGAGGGTTGGGTAATATCCCAACAGAAATAATGGCAGTGATTCCTTTTTTAAAATAGTCTATGCAGCTTTCAAAGATTAACATATTCTGCCTCATTTTTACAAGTCAGTCAACTTAATTTAAAAAAAGTTTCTCCTTAAAAAGTGTATAAATGAGCAAGCCAAAATAAGAAAAATATATAAAAGTATAAATGTGGAACAAACAGGAGGGCCACTTGGCAAAACCTGCCATGAATTCATAGTTCCTGTACAGTGCACCTGTTTTCCCATCCAGCTCATTTCTTGTGGTGATGTTCCCTTCGACAGAGCTGTGGAATGCTGATGTGTGCAGGAGGCTATGAAAGGCTCAGTCCTGCAGAAGCCATCCTCCCAGCCTTACGAGAAATCCTTCTCCAATTTGTATAATTTTAGATGATTTAGCCAGAGTTATCTTAGAATCTGGGGAGGCCCAATACTACTATGTTCTAATAGGGCACAGGAAATTATTTTTCCTTTTTGGAAAATTGTGCAAAAATAAGCAAACAAGTGTCCTCATCCTGTTCTGGCTTTATATTAAGGGTGTCAGCAATGTGGCTCACCAAATAATCCCATTCTTACTAGGTGCAACCCGCTGTGGGAAAGTTTAGTGGGTCATTAGAGCTGGACCAAGTCTGAATTTGGCCCTATGACTCTGGGTTTGGCTACATACATGCGCTAGCTCTGATTGGGCTAATGACTAAAATTAGAAGTCTAGCTACTGTGGCACCGGTAGCGGGAGGGTCTGTGCGAGCCTGTCCAAGATCCTAGGTACATACTCAGGTGGCTAGCCCAAACTTCTGCTGCCCGTGCCTCCATACCTTAACTTCTAACTTTAGATATTAACTCAATCAGAGCGAGCCTGTGTGTGTATGCCTGAGGTGGGAATCATGCCTCCTTAGTCCTTGCAGACTGCACCTGCTACTTCCCATTCAGCTGGATATGTTGTTACCTGCAGTGGAGCTTGGATTTCATTGATGCTCAAATTGAGGGCTAGTCTACACGACCGTGCTACATCGGTGCAGCTGTTCCATTGTAGCACGTCTGGGGAAGACATGCTATGCCGACACGAGAGCACTCTCCCATCCGCATAATTATTCCACCTAAGCAAGAGGCGGACGCTACGTCGGCAGAAGAGCATCTCCCACTGATATAGCACCAGTGTGGACAGCGGATCGGTTGATGTAACTTGCGTCGCTCAGAGCGGTGGTTTTTTCTAACATTGACCTAAGCGGTCGTGTAGACGAGCCCTGAATGAGGTGGCATCTTGAGTACAGCACAGAGGCTCATGGTTAGGCTGGTGGAGAAGGGTAGAGTACCATTCTGAAAAGTCCAGAGGACCAATATTGTTATCCCAGAAGGTGAAATGGGAACGGTTAGTTTAAACAGTTAATTTGAGAATCCTGATTTATTTTTTCTTACATAATGGATTTAATATTGAAAAAACTGAAATGTTAATTAACTGTTCTTTTTAAATTTTGACTTTTTTGATACATTTTGCTTTGCTTTTTAGGTACCCAGATAAGCTGTTTTTCTCCCAGCTCATTCTCCTGGCGCCAGGCTGCGTATGTGGACTCCTACTGCTGGGCAGCTGTGCAGCAAAAGCAGTTATTACAGAGCGATTCAGGACACATTCCACTGTGGCTTCATAAAGTATGTACAGATATATTTCTTCTTGAAAACTGGGTCCAATGCAGAAGCCTGTAGTTCCCCTTCCCTTCTCCCCATCCCCAACTTCTTCTCTTGTTGACTCAAAACCATTTATTATAGCACTTGTCAATTTATTTTTAGAGAGTATATTTACTTTCACTGGTATCCAAATATGGCATTGTTGAAAAAAGTATTTGCTTTAAAAAAAACCTCCTGGCTTTCCATACCCAGTAAATGTTGCCAATTATCTGATTTACAAATAAAGGCAACGTTAAAGTGTTATCCTCTGAAACACATCTAAGTAAACAGACTCCACGTATTTCTCCCCAGTGTAAATTCTGATTCATGTCTGCTGATTTTAATGACGCCTTTTTGCTCCTATTAGCACTGCACAGTCTACAAAGCTATAAGAAAGTGAGTTGGATTCTGTTTCATCTCATGGACATTAACCAAGGGACAGATTTTGCCACCTTTACTCAAGTAGCATAGTAAGTAGAATAGTATCTTACTCTACCAGTAATCCAACTGACTTCAGTAGGACTCTTCCTGGAGACCTGCTGAAGGCCATGGGACCATTTAGCACGAGTAAGGGTGTCACAATCTGATCCTAAGGCCTTGGCTACACTTGCAGATGTACAGCGCTGTGAGTTAAACCTGACTTCGTGCAGCTGAGTAGGGA